GGGTGTCAGGAGATGCCACAGCTAGTTCACGAGGATTAGCTGGCGTAGGGATAGCTTTGAGTACTAGGGCAGAAAAGACATTGCTTGACTGGATCCCGGTAGATAGCCGAATGTGTGCTGTCCTCTGAACGGATCAGTAAGAAGGAGAAGGACTGCACTACTCGCCGATGCCTTTTCGTAATCTCCGCCTACGCCCCCACTGACTGCAGTTCAGATGAAACGAAGGATGAGTTCTACCAAAAGCTGTCTAGTTTGGTGGAAAGGCTAAACGCTCAGACATAGTCGTTCTAGCTGGTGACTTTAACGCTCAAGTAGGGAAATTGTGTCAATCTGAGAAGGATGTCGGTGGCACCTATGGAGTTCCGTGCCAGCGAACCGACAACGGTGACCGTCTCCTACAGTTCTGCTCTGATAATCATTTGTTTCTTGTAAGCACTAACTTCAAACACAAGGAGAGACACTGTTTGACTTGGAGACCCCCTTCATCAAACCAACGCTGGACACAAATAGACCACATAGCAATAAGCTATCGTTGGCGTGGGTCGGTAGGAGATTGTCGCTCCTTCTGGAACACGTGTGTAGATACCGACCATGCACTGGTCCGCGCTCGGGTGTGCTTACGACTGAACGGACGTAGGAAACAGCTGGCGGTAAAACCATCACGTCCCCAGCTCGATCAGGAAACTAAATCCGTATTTGAGGAAGAACTAGCTAAACACATATCTGTGTTCGACAGCTGTGCTCACCCTGAAGAAGCTTGGAAAATATCCAGGCAGCCATAGATACAGCTGTAAAAGCTGTGAATAAGGTAAACCCAAAGGTGAGTAAAAACCACTGGATCTCCACCGCCTCATCCGAACTGATAGATGCTAGAAGACTTATTCCGGCGAGCTCCGAATTCAATGAGGAGCGAAAGCTGCACAAAGGAAACTTACGAAAAGTCTCCGCAAGGACCGTGAACAGTGGTGGGTGACAAAAGCGAAAGAGATGGAGAAAGCTGCGAGGGCGTTCCGAACATCCAACATCTCCCTGAATGGGATATAGACACAGGTCCTCCGTCCCCAACTGAGGTTACTAAAGCTGTCACCAATCTGAAACAAGGCAAAGCAGCAGAACCTGATGGAATAACTCCAAAAGTATGTAAGTACGGTGGAGACAGTCTACTGTCTGCATTAACTGAGGTTCTAAGCAGCGTCTGGGAATCAGAGGAATTCCCATCGGGTTGGTGTAAGTCACTGATTATCCCCATATACAAGAAGGGAGACAAGTCTTCCTGTGATAATCACAAAGGGATTAATAATAATGTAATAATTTTTCCTTCACGTTCCCTAGTGGAACATAGGGCTTCGAGCTAGTAGCTTGAAGTTTCTGTAGCAGAGTTTATTTTACAGGATGGGGTTGCTAGTCTCATGCCCAAACTTTACTCTTTACCAGCATTATTTCTGGCTTAGAGAGGTAAAGGTGTGCGTCGGCCGAGGATCGAACCCCGGACCATGTGCATGGTCGGCGAGCGTCCTAACCGCTATACCACCGACGCACAGAGGGATTAGCTTGACTAATATAGTATCTAAAGTCTTAGGCTCAATAATCATGCGTAGACTAAGTGAGGCTCGGGAGGCACAAACACGAGAGAGCTAGGCAGGCTTTAGACCAGGAAGAGGGTGTATTGATCATATCTTCACCCTCCGACAGATTCTAGAACATAGTCATTCCTGCCGGCGTCCAACAGTCATTATGCGTCGCTGACACAGTGGTTAGGACGTTCGCCGACCATGCACATGGTCCGGGGTTCGAGCCCACGCCGGCGCACCCCTGATATCTATGTTCGGCCTGCAAAATTTGGGCTACCGATATCCATGCTGAAAATTCCATACTTGTACCAAAAATACAGTGTGGAATCAAGCTGTAAATCAAAAAATAAAAAAAAATATATTTCTTGACCTAAAGGCAGCATTCGACTCTGTCGATCGAGAAGTTCTCTGGAGATGCTTGGCTGTGAAGGGAATTCCGAGAAAATATATTGCACTAATTAAGGCACTCTACTCGTACTCATGCAGCTAGGTGAGTCAGTCAATGAAATCCACAACAGTTGGTCTAAGCCACGTAGGAAGGTGTAGACTTCTTGGCTGGGGTCCTCGGGACGGTAAAAACCTATGGTTGGAAACAATTGGTGACATGGCTCAAAATCGTTCTCAATGGCTAACGCATATGCATCCACTCCTTGTGACTTATGATCTTCAATGAAACTGTTTTGTATTTCTTTATTACTCCTTTGTCTCACACCTCTGCTCACTGTCGCTATTATGCTTTTCTTGTACTTTTTTCTCTTGCTTCGCGTGCTACACGGAGTGTGGCGACTTGAACTACCGCACATTTGTGCAAAGTTCTATGTCGAAAACAGACAGCTAGGTGAGGGCTTACGGCGAGCTGTCATCTGAAGTGATGATGACTAGCGGTGTCCGTCAAGGATGCCCATTATCCCCTTTTCTTTTCAACTTCATCATAGATGTGTTAATGAACTGAACCCTAAGTGACTTCAGCGACTCAGGGATTGACTTGCTACCAGGGAATAATCTCGTTGACTTAGAATATGCGGACGATATAGTCCTTCTAGGCGAGGGCTCGGAAAAAATACAGAGTCTTCTAAACACCTTGAGCTGCAATTTCCGAATGTTTGGCATGCGATTCGCTCCCGCCAAATGTAAGATGATACTACATAACTGGACTGGACCACATCGACTCCTAGTTTTAAAATAGGAAGTGAAGTGGTAGAACACGTTGACCGTTTCACTTATTTGGGAAGTACCATCAGCCCCAAAGGGTCGATCTCTGACGAAATCTCAGCACGGATACAGAGAGCTAGTTTTGCATATGCTAGTTTACGCCGTCTCTGGCGTAGACTTGATATCCGACTGGCTATCGACCAGAGGGCGAATGTACTGCTCATCAGTCCGCTACGTCCTCCTTTATGGCTATGAGACCTGGCCACTGAGAGTGGAAGACATAAAAAATATGGCTAACTGTCTTCGATCACAGGTGCTTGCGTTCTATCTCCCGTGTGAAGTGGTATAATACGGTGAGCAATATTGAGGTTAGGCGTTGAGTTCTAGTTAAACAGGGGATATCAATCGTCGAAGTTGTGAAGTTACAAAGACTGAGATGATTAGGACATCGCATTCCTCGACAACGGGCAATGTTAGCGGATATAGGGTCATGCTGGAAAAAAGCTAGCGGAGGTCAAACCAAAACATGCCACCAGTCAATGAAATCTACAACAGTTAGTCTAAGCCAAGTAGGAAGGTGTAGACTTCCAGTTTGGGGTCCTCGAGACGGTAAAAATCAATGTCTGGAAACAATTGGTGACATGGCTCAAAATCGTTCTCAATGGCTAACGCCAATGCACCCACTCCTTGTGACTTATGATTTTCAATGAAACTGTTTTATTTACTGGATGACAATGTTTCAAACACAATTTATTGTTCATAATCATATCAATTGTAATCACACGACTTCCAAACTTGAGGTTTATAGTTTTCTTGGTCTTCTCCTATTTGTCGTCGTTGGGGTAGTAGAATTTTCCAGATATCTGGGTGGACAGGTGTTGAATCATTCCTATTACACGTGTTTGCAGTTGATTCGATAAACAAGGCTTCTGTTATCAATCTCTCCCTCCATCCACCCTGTGACATTAGATTTTAAAATTGTCACCCTATCCCATCTCATTGTATGGTTCGTTGTGTGTAATTGTAAGTGATGAGTGCTAAAGCTGAACTATTCTCCAAATTTCTTATCTTATTCGGGTCAACCAATCTAGATTTTGCTAGGTTTTTATGTTCGGCTAGTGTGACTGCCTATGTTCTACTAGTTTGACCTATGTATTTGACCTGACAGTCATTGGAGGGTGTTAGATAAACTGAATTGTTTTGTTCTAAAGATTCCACAGGATTGATCCTTTAACCAACAAAGTTTGTTTTTAAATGAGTTTGTGGGTGATTGAATGCCAGCCACTTTTATTCCTGCCTTGTTAAGAATTCCGCGTAAGGTTTTCGAGGTTCCTTCCTTGTATGGAATTACTACTGATGATATAGATCCCTTATTGTTGGTGGCGTTCAAACCCACAAACTCAATTAGAAACAAGCTTTATCGGTTACAGGATCCTGTGGAGCCAACTACAAAAAACAATTTAGTATAACTAATACCCTGCCTCCAATGATCGTCAGGTCAAATACATAGGTCAAACTAGTAGAACATAGGCAGTCACACTAGCCGAACATAAAAACCTAGCAAAATCTAGATTGGTTGACCCGAATAAGATAAGAAATTTGGAGAATAGTTCAGCTTTAGCACTCATCACTTACAATTACACACAACGAACCATACAATGAGATGGGATAGGGTGACAATTTTAAAATCTAATGTCACAGGGTGGATGGAGGGAGAGATTGATAACAGAAGCCTTGTTTATCGAATCAACTGCAAACACGTGTAATAGGAATGATTCAACACCTGTCCACCCAGATATCTGGAAAATTCTACTACCCCAACGACGACAAATAGGAGAAGACCAAGAAAACTATAAAACTCAAGTTTGGAAGTCGTGTGATTACAATTGATATGATTATGAACAATAAATTGTGTTTGAAACATTGTCATCCAGTAAATAATACTGTTTCACAGACTGTGTGATATATCTAATAAACAAAGCAATAAGGAATTACTTACTACCACAGTGCTGAAGTTTTACACATATACGAATCCCGTGTTAACTAACCTGGTTCTTTGGAGGGAGTTTAAGAAGGTGGCTCGGCATGCACAACGCATCTCTCAGCTTCACAAATTCATCGATTGACTTCTCTTCTTTTTATTTGGCGTTTAATCTTTCGTTAATAATGTATTTAAATCATTGAAAAAGACTATTATTATTATTGCTATTATTATTATTATTATTATTATTATTATAACCCCTACTTTGTTCGTTTTCTTTCCCCTCTGTCTTTTAGATTCCTTTACACAAATCCAATTCGGTGGGCAATCAGATAATAATCCTTGTCTTGATGTCTTATCATCATTTGAGGATAAACCTGATGAATCAAATTCGACGGCTGCTACAACTAGTAATTCACCGGTCGACTTTTTATCTACTCCGCTTAAACGAGTGCGCCATCTTTAAACAACAAAAAAACCAAACAACTAATAAATAAATAAATAATTAATTAATTAAGCAGTAAAGCAATACAAAATGGAAATACTTAAGCAAAAAAAAACAAACAAAACAACTAAAATCTAGATGTCTTATTTTCAGATTATTCGTATCATATAAATATATACATAGACATGTATTGTGTGCTTTTATTTTGTCCCTGTTATTTTAAAGAATACATTTATACGTTATATATATATATATATATATATATATATATATATATATATATATATATATATATATATATATATATATATATATATATATATATATATATATATATATATGCTTATATTGTAATCTATCTTACTAGATAACCCAAGTTAAATATTGTTGTATTTTACACGTTTTCCCTTTATCCTAGATACTAAGTCCCCCCCCCACCGCGCCCCTTTTCTTTTAAATAATCTCATGCACTTCCGTATTATATATATACATACATACATATACACGCCATACACCATCCATCATCCATCAGTAGTCATCATTTGAGTATTTTTCAACAATTCAGCATAGTGTTCAGCCTTTATATTTGACCCCTTGTTGTTCTTTTCCAGAGATTTCCAGATTTTCTCATTATTTATATGTTTCTGTTTTATTGTTTTTTTTGGTTGTTTGTTTATTCACTCGTTTGTCACACACACACATATCTTTGTTAGTCATCCCTACTATATAAAATGAAGATTACTCACTACAGATGATAATAATAGTTATTATTATAAGTAAAATGATGATAATAATACATATATACACATATATTTTCTTTTATTTGTGTCTCCCTTGTCTTCTCTTTTCTAGAAAATGAAGTCATTTTTCGTTTCTTCATCCTGTCTTTTATTTTGATCCTTACTCATCTTACTGACACACACACACATACAAACATACATTTTGTTTTGTTTTTTTGTTCCTATCCATTGAACACATTGGATTTGTTTTCATCGCCTTAGGACTGATTGTATTTTATATGAAGCGCCATGCCAGTTGTACTTTCAATTTAAGATATTATTATTATTACTACTATTTTAAATTTTGTTTTAGTCTTTCTGTTATTCGTTTGTTGATTTTATTTTCCCTCCCTCTCTCCCTCCTTCTTTCGTTAGTTCGTTTGTTTGGTGTCTCTCTCATTGTTTTGTCTTATTTGTTTGTTTGTTTCTGTAATAACCAAATAAACTGTAGATAAATCTACTGAGACAAAAAAAGTAATAACTACAACAACAACAACAACAAAAAAGGTGGTATGTTGTTCACTGACTAAGTGTTTGTGAGTTGGCAAGCTCTTTCGAACATTAGTTGTAAAAGTTTATTCTTGTAGATCCCTGACGGTGGGGTCATAAGTGCGTATTGCGCTAAATTCTGTCAAAGTTGGACGGAGAAGCTTTTCAGCAGTGTTACGTATGCCTAGTCATCGCCTTCCTCGAAACAAGGGGCAATGTTAGCTGACATAGGGTCAGTCAGGCTGGAAAAGAGCTAGCTAGCGGCGGTTAAACCAAAACATGGCTTCATCAGTCAGTGAAATCTAAGCCACGTAGGAAGGTGTAGACTTCCAGTTTGGGGTCCTCGAGACGGTAAAAATCAATGTCTGGAAACAATTGGTGACATGGCTCGCAATCGTTCTCAATGGCTAACACAGATGTATCCACTCCTTGTGACTTGTAATTTCCAATGAAACTTTATTGTTCCTCGTTATTACTATTCCTTTGTCTCACACCTCTGTTTACTGTCTCTATTATGCAAATTTTTCTCTTGCTTTGTGTGGTACAAGGAGTGGAGTGTGGCGACTTGAACTGGTGCACATCGGTGCGAAGTTCTGCGTCGAAAAAAGATGGACAATGTTCCCTGCTGGTTTTCATTGATGTCTCAGTTCTGGATCAAACTTGAAATATCAATCAGATCCGTGCAATTTCAACACTTAAAAATCAATTTAGTGTTCACTAGTGAGTGATTGACTGAAGGATGATGAGGTTTCCTGAAGTTCTAGTGGAGGAAGTCGTGACCACAAGGAGGGATCCACCAAGTTGGACGTGAGGACGACGAGAGTACTCTCCAGTGGCCGCCATTGGATGACGATCGCGAGTCGATGTCGAAGTTAGAATTCATGGTTCATCAGATTTCGTCCTAGTGCCTTGTAACTTTGAAGTCCTGCGTCCAACCCCTGGTGGGCCTATGGGTGTGTATTGCTAAAGAGTCCCAGACAAGGACACATCAAAGCTTTAAAAATTTGCAACTTGTCAACCGGGCAGTAATTACAACATATATATTTAAGTGTTAGCGGGACGGATAGATTAATAATTGAAGAACACGAAAATTGCTGTTGTTCATGTAGTTGTTGAGTTCTATGATTTTGGTTGATTGGTTTAACTCTCTACCTATCATATTCTCCCTCTGTAGAGAATATCTTCAGCGTTAACTTTTCAGTGGAAGTTTGTCAATTAAATCGTTCAGCTTAGAAAATCCAGTGTATACCAAGAACAACTACCTGACCTACATTTTTTCACCTGACTGTGAATAAGTTTTCAATGTAGAACTTTCTACAACAGTTTAAATCGCTACACTTCGTGTATCACACAGAAATAGGGAAAAAATTAAAGCAGAAAGGTAAGGGAGAAATAATAACCATATGGGGAAAATAAAGAGACTTTTAGTGATCTAGGAGTGAATGCGTCTACACCTATGAGAACGATTTTGACCCACGTCATCAACAGTTTCCAGCCATTGATTTTTAGCATCTCAAGGAATCCAACTAGACAGTCTGTACCCTTTAGACTCAAAGCAGCAGTAAAAGACTTCATGGGGAGATTTTATCTTTTGGTAATAATAATAATTATTATATAAATTTTATTTTGTATCTTTTCATCTCGTTTCCGATCTGGGCAGCTTTGCCAATCTCCTCCATGGTGTTGACATTCCATGTCCCTATAGAGACTTTTTCTTTTGGCGCAAAGAGATTCATCGTGCTGAAGTTTCTGTGTCAACTTTGTTTACTTGGTGGGGTTGCCAGCCTCACGCCTGAGAAGGGGGTTGTTACACTAAAATATAGTTTGCACAGGAGAAAAAGGAATAAAGCAATCAGAACAGCACCATCAAAAGGGAAAATATTTGACAACAGGAAAGGCAACAAGCGATAACAACAATAAAAAACCTTAGCAGTAGTATCACAGTCAGATACAGTTAACAAAAATGATACCAAAATCATAGATTCACTGACTTGAACTGACTTGGACATGTAAATCCATCAACATATACAATTATAGATATTAGTTAGTGTTGGACAGCCATGAAGTGGCAAGCAGATAGTTATAGGTATTATCGGTCAACAAGATCAAAACCTCCTTCCCCTACCTGGAAAGCATCGTTTCAACTACAGGAAAAACTGACGAGGATATCAAAGCAAGACAAGCTTTCATTACTCTCAACTCCGTGTGGAGGACAACAGCACTCAGCATCAAAAATAACATCTGGATTTTCAACTCAAATGTGAAGCCAGTCAGTGCTACTTACTGTACGGATCAGAGACTTGCACTGCGCGTCATAAAGAGCATCTCAAACAAAATACACACGTTCATCAACAGTTGTCTTCGCTCAATACTACTCAAGATCAGATGGCCAGAAAAGATCAGCAACAGGGATATCTGGGAATGAGCGAACCAACACAACATGAAGCGATTGGGAAACAAATAAGCAGGAAGAAATGGGGATGGATTAGCCATGCTCTGAGAAATCAAACCACCAAGTGACATCACTAGACAAGCCATCGCTCGAGTGGAACCCGAAAGGGAAGCGGCGAGTTGGTCGTCAGTGCGAAGGTCGGGGGACTTGGAGGAGATCATGTGAAGGAAGGGGAGATGAAAGCATGTGGGCAGACTTGGAGCTGGGTGAAAAGGTTGGCAGAAAAGAGAAGGTAATGGAGACGCTCAGCTGAAGCCCTATGTTCCTATAGGAATTAAAGGAAATATTAATAATAAGTTTTATTCTGAAAATTATGTTTAAATACAATCCAGTATTTTAAGCTTGACTACTTGCAAAATATTCACTTTCCCTGATAGGATCTTCCAACGGGAATATTCATCTACAGTGTATGGTATGAGGCAACTTCATTCTATCAGAAACAAGAATCAGTCTTCTACGAAATTCTCCCTTTTCTTTTCTTTTTGAAGTGTATGGTGATGATCGGTTGAAAGTCATTTAAAAATTGGCGTGAGCTCATATTGTGATCCAACAACATAATTGGAAGATTAAAACTCCAATAAAAAAAACGAGAAAAAGTAGATGGATGCATTATGCTGGATGAAACCCAGTGGTTTAAGCAGGTCACTGTCGAACTGACCAACTTTTATTCTTTTCTAAGGTAATCCTATCTCAGACAACATTACTCGACGAGGAAAGTAATGGGTTGGGAGGCGTAACCATGTCGTAACCATCTCATTTGATATTCAAAATTGGTTTGTAGGGATTTGATTGGTTACAGGATTTCATCATGAGCTGACATTAGTTACAGAACCATTGGAAAACCTGGGAGTACTGGACAGCTGTTTCGAATCCCGGTGGGCGCGTGCTGGTGAAGAGTCCTAAACTAGGACGAAACAGCTGTCCAGTACTCCCCGTTGGTTTTCCAATGGTTCTCTAACTAATGTCAGCTCATGGTGAAATCCTGTAACCATCTCAATTGATTTAGCATATATTCTCCATTATTTCAATACAAGAATTAGAGATTTTAATTAACACTGAGCAATGCCTACCACCCCACCCGCCCCCCGCCTGCAATCTACTGGAAAACTGCTAGAATTAATAAGAAGAAAACATGATAGACAGATTTCAGTTACACGTTTTTTTGCTCTATATTGAACCAACATATATTTAAAAAATGCTTTCTATTAAGAAGCTTACAAGTTCTACTCAGTTTTTCAGATCAATTTTATGCTTGTAGGATAATTAATACATGTTGGCGGGATGACGAATTATTTGATTTT